TGAAAAATATTATTAAACATTATGTAATTATATAATAATCAATCAATTAGACAGACTAATCAATATCAATATGACATGAGTTATATGTTTCTTTTAGGGATAAACACGAATTCAAAATAATATATTTTTGGAAATATTTGTCACTGCTTTTCCTAGAGCAATGTCACTATTATTCAAGAATATTAAAAATTATAATTCATACTCTTCAAGAGCGATAAATTAATATTTTTTGAATATTAATAATATAAAAAATAATTTTCCTTTAAAAATTACAATCTAAAATTGATTATTTAATTTGTATTTCTTCAAGAGCACAATGCGATATATATTATTCGGGATGTGTTTTACTTCAAGAACACGTTATATTTGAGAATACCAAAAATTATGATTCACACTCTCCAAGAGCAAATAATATTTTTTAGAATATTAATTATAATGTTATGCTACTTCAAGAGCATGGTTGTACTACTTCAGGAGCAACAACATGATGGATTATCAATTTAAAATTTATAAAAAAACACCTAAAAAAATTTAATCAGTTTAAAATCACAAAAAGTATTCTATAATCATTATAGAAATATATGTATTTTACAAATAAAAATATAAGGAACGCGTGCATTAGGTAATTATCTTGAAACTTGCAGAGAGATTATAAAAATGATTATAAACATGAATTCTAATAACAAAAAAGTCAAACAACAAAGAAAAAAAAGGACAATTCATATTCACTGGTTTTCGAGATAGTTTGTAATTCGTAGTATAGAGTACAAAATTGATTCCATAATAATTTTATAGTGACTTTGCCACTATATTTTGTACACGTCACGTGATCATACATATAAGAAAATTATTACCTTTTGGCGAATTCGTTTGTGATATAAAGTTGAATTAGAATTGAAATTTCCTTTGAAATACAGATGAAATTGTTATCATCTTCTTTTCTTTTGAAAGAATATTGAAGTTGGAGAAAAAAAAAAACTATCGTGCTGATAACGTGTTATAAACTAGAGAAAAAAAAAAGAGCAAACGAGAGAAGTTAATAAATTTATTTATATTATTACAAACAAAAGCCCTATATTTATAGGAAAGAATTATATTACAAGGAATACAACATCATAATAACAAGGATTGCATAGTATAAAAGTCATTCATAAATATTACTATATTTACAATACTCTTTTTGGAATAACTATTTAAACATTAACCATCTCACCGAAACATTGTTTGGTAGAAAACTTGATAGGACAAAAATGTCAACAAATGAAAAAATAGCACGAATAATAAAATGTTGCATCGTTAAGACCTTGTCAAGAAAATTCAGAGAGAGAAAACTTGATTGAAGGAAAAATAGTGCCAATAAACTTGTGTGTTGTAATTTTAAGAACATTATTGAGGCCAAGAAACAAGATAGGATCATGTTATATGTACCGAATTTTTTTACCTAATTCCTTATTGACTACTCACAATATAGGGTGGGGACCACATTTTGAAAATTTTTTATTCACGTGGGTGTCGTGTGCATGTGAGAGGAGATAAAAAAATTCGGTACATCTTTGGATGTACAAATAAAATTATTCAACAAGATATTAGCCTCTTTTTGCCAAAAGCTGAGTGTTAGGTGGGAATTAAGATCAAATTTTTAATAGAATTTGATAAAAATTAATTAAATGTATTATTGAAAAATTGTGGGTTTCATGAAATATATAGTTAAAATTAGGGTAATCAGCAAAAAAGGTCCATACCTTTCAATATTATTGTGCAAAATGTCCCTATCTTTTATTTTTTGACATTTTCGCCCTTATTTCGACGTTTCATTGCAGAAAACGTCATTTTCACCATTTTCCATGTAAAATGACCAAAATATCCACCCATTTAAATAAAACCAAAAAAGAAAAGACAAGAAAAATAAAGAATAAATTACAATCTTATTCCTAAATCTTTTAAAAAGTGCAAGTAGGTCCAAATAATTATTAAAAAGCCTAATAGCACAAAATGTCTCTACGTTTGGCCCATATTGTGCAAAATGTTCGTGCGTTTCAAATTGGTAAAAAAGATATTTTTCACAATGAAACGTGAAAATAGGGATGAAAGCGCCAAAAAATTGAAATGTAGGGCATTTTACGCTAGAAGTGTCAAATGTAGGGATTTTTTTTATTATTAAGCTTTATTAAAATATTAAAAATAACAAAAAAAAAACTCTCTCTCTCTCTCCCTCTCCTCCAAATGGGACTGTCACGTTAGAAGTGAAAAAACTCTGACCAACCATTGCCTAAATTGCCGAACCTCCATACCATTAAACCACCCGTTGATATTTTAAGACCATGAAGAGAAGCGCCGTGGTGAGTATGTCGATTGGGGTGTTGAAAATGATATGGGTCTCTCCGAATAGGTGATGCCGCCAGTATTTGTATTTGCGAGTTAGGTATTTTGGCTTGCAATTTCGGACGAATCTGTTGGCATGAAGGTTTCAAGATGGGATGTTGTGTGGTATGTGTAAAGGAAAGTGAAGGCTTTTCGATGGTACAATGGTCCAGCAGTTTGGGTAGTGGTTTGCTAGAGTTTTTTGGCTTCTAGGGTGGTTGACCCATTTGGAGAATGATAGAGAGAGAGAGAGATAGAGGGGGAAATGTGAGAAAATGTGTAAATTTTTTTTTTTTTTTTTTTTTTGATAAAAGATGTACAAGGTTTGTATGTAGACAGTAAAATCCATATGGAAATCATGCTTAAATAAAATTAAAAATTCTTAAACTCATAACCTTCTTACAGTATGTATGAATTGATGGCTTCTTCTTACGTTTTCTTTCTGCATACTCCTTTGCTTCACTTTGTTGAATCTTTTGGATTGTATTCCCAAATGGCCACCTGCCTAATGATACCTTTTAGTCACATTGATTCTGTAAAGATTCGTACATGGTTTGTATATAGAAATGAAATTGTATGAAGAATTGACTAAAACATAAAGTTTTATTCAAGAAAAAAGGTTTAAAAGTATGAAGAACTCTTAAACTTATTTAATTACATGAAAGATCCAAAATGGCTCTACTGCCTTTGAGGGGTTTAGCCTCGAAGAATATACATCAGGAATTCAGAAACAAAGAAAATTTTTCTCCGAAATTCCCCCCCCCCACCCATT